GTGTGTGTGTGTGTGAGTGTGATTGTGTATCAGTCTGACTGTGTGTGTATCAGTCTGACTGTGTGTGTGTCAGTGTGAGTGTGAGTGTGTGTGTGTTTAACGCGGTCGGACCTGTTGGACTCCAGACGTGCACACACCCGTGGCCTCACACACTTCACATAGCTTCACTTTGTGTTTCAGGTTTGACAGACTCAGGATTTAAACTCAGTGAAGCCACGTTCACTTTTTATTCTCCGGCTTCTTTAAAACCAACTTTGTCACTTTTCCACTTTAAAGCAGCAGCTCAGATGAAGTTTCCCCACGTGTGGCTGCAGAGGGCGCTGCTGTTCCGTCAGAAGTGAATCGTGCTGCTTTAATATTTCTGTTGGTTTGTTTTCATTCTGTTGAAACGTGACTCTAATGAAGCTTTGTCTCGTTGCCATGGTGACCTGGGTCTCTGCAGGACTACATGATGCAGCAGACGATGCTGAGGGTCAAAGATCCCGTGAGATCTCTGGACTTCTACACTCGGATCCTGGGCCTGACGTGAGTCCGCCTCCAGACTCTCGATCACAGGATCGCTTCTCTCACAGCTTTGATCCGTCCACGTTTTTTAGATTTCTGTCCCTGACACAAACTCTGAGCTTGAACTAAATCACTCTCCTCTCTGAGAATCCAACGAACCTTTGACACGTGACTTTAATTCCTGTGCTTTCGAAGGTTTTTGCAGAAAATCGACTTCCCCTCGATGCGCTTCACTCTCTACTTCCTGGGTTACGAGGACAAGCAGGACATCCCTGCTGACATCAGAGAGAGGACAGCGTGGACCTTCTCTCGCCGAGGCACCATCGAGCTCACGCAGTGCGTGTGGTGACTTCAACACACTGCAAACAGAAAACAGTTACTCATCATCATCAGTTGTAACGATCCCAACATCTCAGACTTTAACCTCGTGTGTTCAGAATCTGTTGAAATCAATCCTCGATCTCTGATCACTGGTGGACGGACTGTTGGAGTGTCCACAGAGTGTCCACAGAATTAAATCCATCGTGAACGTCTCAGAGTGTCTTTGTTTTTCAGTAACTGGGGATCAGAGACGGATAAAAAACTGTCGTATCACAACGGGAACAACCAACCACGAGGATTTGGTGAGTTCGTGTGTCTGTGTCTCGTCGCAGCTCTGTGTTCTGTGTGTGTCTCACCCTCTGTCCTGCTGCAGGTCACATCGGTATCTGTGTCCCTGACGTCTCTGCCGCCTGTCAATTGTTTGAGGATCAGGGTGTAACGTTTGTCAAGAAACCACAGTCGGGTGAGTTCTTCTTCTTTGGTCATGAATCGGGTTCACACAGTCGCTGTTTGATATTCAACTCTAATAAACTTGAATTAAACTCAACTGAACTAATCAACACCTGAAGACGTTGTTGTGTTCGAGCAGGTTGACAATATGTTCGGTTTATTAAACCCTTTAACTCCTCCCACAGGTAAAGTCAAGGACTTGGCCTTTATTCAGGATCCTGACGGATACTGGATCGAGATCTTTAGTGCGAGGAACATGGTCGACTTGATGTCCCCGTCACCGTGAGGACGAGACACACGAGAACGACTCAGGACATTTATTCACTTTTCAAACTCATGAAATCCATAAAAACCTCATCATTACTAAAGTCCGGCTCCTGAGCTTCATTTTGTTTTGTTGTTGTGTTTCTCGGTGACGAAGCTTCTCTCTCTCGTTTAAAAACCTTTATACATATAAAGAACCTCTGGGGGACGTCCTCGTGTGTCCACTGCAGAGACCAGAGTACTTTTAAAAAGCACCAGACAAAGTCGTGACGATTGAAAGAAGTTTATTCCGTGTGTTTCTGAAGATAAACAATCTGATTAATAAATTCTTCTCAAACTGGTTTCACTCAGACGAACAGCTCGTCTCTCTCGATGTCGCGCCGCTCACTTCAAAGCGGCGCCTGGCGTGAGAACGTGGCGTCTGAGCCGAGTCGTTCCCAGACCTGTCGACCTTTTAATCCTCGGGTCAGCTGGAAGTGACGTTTACATCAACATGAAGGCAAAGAGAGAGTGTGTGTGTGTGTGTGTGTGTGTGTGTGTGTGTGTGTGTGTGTGTGTGTGTGTGATAATCACCAGACTTTACAATCATAAATATGAAGTTTTATTTTCACGGCAGTCAAACATTTAATGAACGTGGAATAAATCTTATGAGAAGAAAAACACAGTTACACGTAAAAGAAGATTTTCAAACGATCACAGTTTTAATAGAATCAGCAGGTGAACACGTGAAAAACATGTTAACAGGTTAAAGAGTCGAGGGTTAAAACTTGTCAGTGTTTTCTTCAGTGGTGATCAAAGTGTGACGAGGTCAGAGGTCAGAGGTCAGAGGTCAGCCGCCTCCGTCAGAACGCTCCGACCTCGGTTCCCCACGGCCTGTAGGGTTTACTGCTGCTGAGGGGAGTCTGGGAGGAGGAGGAGGAGGAGGAGCTGGGAGGACTGGAGGTGAAAGAGGAGGGAGGAAGGACGGGGAAACCCGCATGGAGGGCGATGGGAAACGAGGCCGAGAGGGAGAGGAGGGAGGCGGAGAGGGGGGAGAGCACAAGAGACGAAGAGGAGGAGGAAGGAGAGGAGGAGGTGGTGGAGTCTGCGTGGGCGGAGTAAGAGGAGGCCGCACTGCGCCGCGATAACTCCGCCAGCCTCTGGGGGGCTCCACCTCCTCCAACGTCTGAGGAAACAGGAGGCCCGTACGGTGTGGCGCCGGGGGGAAGATGTCGGAATGCGGCCGCAGCGGTGACTGCAGCGGCCCAGTGGTGAGGGTGGAGGGGGTGAGGGAAGGGGTGGGGCTGCTGCTGATGGGGAGAGTGGGAGGCGGCTGTCAGGGCGGCGGCCTCACGATGGGAGGCACAGGAAGTGAGGTGGGAGAGGAGGCGGGAACGCAGGGGGTCGCCGGAGTCCAGGGTCTCCACGGTGCACAGGTAGCGGGAAACCTCCGTCACACACTCTCTGAAACCGAGGGACAGGAAGTCCAGGGCCAGAGCGTGGACGTCAAAGTAACCTGCAGACACGTAAAACTTTATTTATAAAAACTAAATAAGATTTTCTTTCTTACTATAAACAAATAAAATATATTCCATGAGATGAGCGAGCAGTTTGTTTTTCTTCTGAACACGTGAAGAAGAACCAACAGACGCAGGAGACACGAGGCAGCTTGGTCATGTGATCACCTTTCCCCCCGCTCGCCTGCATCATCTTCAGATGGTCGACGGTCATCTGGAGGATTTCTGCTTTCTCCAGTTTCGCTGAACCCTGAAAAAAAAGCGGCTGGAGTTAGAACGTGTTTCCTGCAGCTCGTCATCACCACAAGAGGGCAGCGTTCAGGGGGAAGATGACGCGTCGTCGTCGTCCATCTTTATTTACGGACTGTTGTGATCAGTAATCAATGAGATGGATGTTATTTGGTGACATGACGACGTGATGTAATCGTGGAACATCATTAACGTTTTTATATTATTCCAGTACTTAATACTACATTACATCATAGTATTCACATCCTGACTCATGAGGATAAACCAGGAAGAGAAAGAAAAGTAAATGATAAAGTTTGAATCAGGACATAAAACTAACTTCAAGCTTCACCTGCTTCTCAAACGCTGTGGGGACGAGTCTCCGCAACTCCGTCAAGCTGTTGTTGATTCTGTCTCTGCGTCTCTTCTCAATAATCTGATGAGAAAAAATCAAACCATTAAAAACTCAAACCCTCAAAGAACCGAAGCTCCGTCATCGCTAACGTTACCCCTCTGCGTTTCTTCCTCGCCATCACTTGTGTGGAGGCCGTCGGTGATCCACATCTCATCATCCTCATCTTCATGTGTCTGTGGAACACATCAAGACGTTTAACGCTCGAACCTGTTTCATTCTTTTTCTTTTGTCTTGTTCATCCAGATGTTGCTGCAACATCTTTTTATTTCTCTCCCTGTGAATGAACCAGGTCACATTGATCCATGATGAAAACACAAACCACTTCTCTTTAAACTCTTTCATTTACAGCTGCAGTTTGTCCTGAATTAAGATTTTACAGAGAGAATATACAGTTTCTAAAATATGATTATTATTGTCCATTATGACCTAAAGTGAGTCATTATAAAATAACAATGTTAAAGTATTTAACTGGAGTAAACACCAGACAGAGAAATCACCATGAGAAGTGTTGAACCATCACACGTTGTTCAGTATTTCATTTCTTCTTCAGTTGTTCTGGTCGATCGAGGATTATCTCTTTATTTCTTATTATTAATAAACTCAGGTCTTATTCCAGCTCCAGGTGAGTGTGACCTCGTCTCACCGGGACATTCAGACATGGGACGTCTTCTCTGAGCTCATGACAACATCTGCAACATCTGGATTCTTTTGCTTTGTGCAGAACAGTGAATCTGCAAAGCTGAATTTTATCACCTCACCTTTTTAAATGGAAACATTTACAACCTGAGGATTCTCAAATCTCTTTCATCCTCTTCTGTATCCGACATTATTAAGATGTCGTTAAAGTTTACGACCATCGATCTCAAAAAGAGAGGAAGCGAAGAGTCATTTTAGTTTCTAGAAGTTATTTTTCTTGTTTGCGTGAAAACAAACTGAACGTTTCAGAGTTTTCATCAGTTTCTGAAGTTGTGACTGAGGGTTCGGGTGATTTCACACATTTCATGGATCAAATAAAGAAACTGTGTTTGGAAGGTGAATATCTTTCAGAATAAAAGAATAAATGAATCAGCAGGTTCAGATTTTCAGTTTGTCTCTTCTGTTTTAACATTTTCATCATATTTATGAAGTTTGTATAGAATAGAATGAAACAACATGTTCAGTTTATTCAACTGTTAATAAATCCACAGAAGTTTGGTGCTGATGGAAAAGAAAGATTCAATTAGTTTTAAATTGTATTAATTAATGATTGTCGCCTTTTGTCTTTCAACCTTTTAGAACATTTTTAAAGAAGCTTGGGTCCTAGATTTGTTTTTTTTTAAAGTTATTTAAAAACTAAATGAAATCTTCATGTTCTTGTTGAATATGAACATTTTGAAATTAGATCATGAAGAAGATTCAGATTAAAAGTTTTATTCTGCATCAATAAAACCAGACGATAAAGTTTAAGAACAACATTTATCTCTTTTCTTCAACATTGTATGTTGAAATAATTAGTAGAAATATTCTGAGTATTGTTTTTATCATTAAACTCACCCTGGATAAATGTTCTCACAGCCCACATCGATCATCTCGTCCACGTCGCTCTCCTCGGAGCTGCCGTCCTCACATGGACGCTTCATGGCGCTGGACGGGACGACGACTGGACGAGGGCTGGAGGTCAAGTCCAGGAAAAAAACTCAGTCTTAGTTTTAAAAGATTTAACAGATTTAAAACTTAAACTAAAGTTTAATTTCAACTCTTTGATAAAGTTGGAAATATTTTGTCAGAGGTGAAGGAAATGAACAAAGATGAGTTCAGAAGACAACTCAGGTTCAGGTTTGTTCCAGGTGTTGGTGAAGTTTCTTCCCCTCAGACAAAACTTCTTCTGACAAAAACAAAAGAAGTTTTATCTCGTCAGCAAACTACGAAAATCTGAGTCGCAGATAAAGTTTGAAATGATTTGTCTCTCCGGCAGAGTTTGTTTGGTGAATAGTCCGAGACTGTGGCCTGTGAGGCGGCTGCAGAATGAACTGGTCACCGGTGGTGGAGCTTTCCCACGGAGCCTGGGAGACACACACACACACACGCACACACACACACACACACACACACACACACACACACACACACTGTAGCACCGCCCACTTAAACACAAATTTGAGATGGGAGAGTTTTACAGTCTGGGCTGCTCCCTCTCTCCTGATAATACTGTCTGGTTCAGAGTGTGTGTGTGTGTGTGTGTGTGTGTGTGTGTGTGTGTGTGTGGGAATGAGGCCACTAACAGTAGAAAATAGTTCTTACATAAGGCCGCAGGTTTCAGACTCGACTTGTTTCTGCAGAATGTGAACTGAACTCATGAATCTTGTGTAAAAAGATCTCGTTTCAGTTTGAAAACTCAGTGAGACTTCAGTAAACGATGACGCAGACGTTCTCCTCCTGATTGGTTCTCATCAGTCACATGACTGTGAAGCGATGCCAACACTTACTGTGGTCGGATTAAAGGCCTCTGACCCGTTCACAGCGTTTTATTTCAGCAGCTCTCTGAGGTCACATTGGTCTGAAAACATATTTTCTCTGTTAAACCTGAAAGTGAAGTCGCCTCGTCTCTTCAGCGGACAGAGGTCGTGTGTCGTTCACGCAGTTCTCCGGTGAACTTGATTCTAAGGTTGTTTACTGACGACTGTGGAGGTGGAGGCGTCCTCAAACTTTTGGCCGGTGCTGTGTGAAGTCACAGTGAAGCTGCTCAACGTTCGGACGACGTCAGAAAACGTTCGGACGACGTTCCCACGTCAGTCGTCTGTCGATCGTGTGCAGAGAAACAGACAGAGACCAAAATAGGAGAGAGCGTGTGTGTGTGTGTGTG